TCGGCTCAGCAAAGAGCAGATGAGCCAAAATGTTCTTGAGTTATTTCACTTGCTCATTGGTCAATTGGTCAGTGCACCACCTTACTGAAAGACTCAAAGTATCCTGTGGAACTACAAGTCCCATGAGGCACTGCTGGACACTGACAGATGACTCCCAGAGATAGTGGTATGATTGGATTTGTACTTTAAGCACAGCTAGAGTGCTGAGGTTGTCTAACCCTTTGTTTAGGTACAAAGCACAGACTATTTTGACCAAAATATTGTCCTTTGCTCAAGGTTAGTCACTTTCAGCATGACATGCTACTTAAATGTGCATGCTAAAAGAAAACGCACACCATGCACCGCTGTGATCCCTGCTATTGAAAATAAATGGCTTCGAAGTGCTGAATTCAAAGGGGGTTTACTCTTGCAGTTTAGAATGAAATATACGAAGGGAAGGGCTGCTCTCTTGTACAAAGAAGCCTCTGGGACATTCTTTGGACAAAATATGGAAGCTTTCGAAGAAAAGTAGCACCTGGCTATTGTTATGTATTGGAAAAATACAAGCCAACTCATTTTATATATATATAATGAATAGAACCTATGTGCAGGCAGTGCATGTACCCATAAAACTGGAATACCATTTAAAATGAAATTAAAAAGAATAGTTTCCATCAGTAATATACTTCTTATAAATACTTTCTAATCATAGTATAAACACAATGAAAATATCAAATTCCAAAACAGAAGTTAAAGTTTAAGTCAGTAATATACCTTCGTCACTGTTGTCTTAGCAACCTTTGTACAAAATGTAAATAAAGTATTTTAAAAGGCTTTGTGTCATGGTCAAAAATTTGAATTTTCATGTTTTAAATCAGGGGTAGCCAAACTCCGGCCCTCCAGCTGTTGTGGAACTACAAATCCCATGAGGCATTGCAAGGTTCTCCCAGCCACAGACATGACTCCCGGAGAGAGATGCATCATGGGATTTGTAGTTTCACCACAGCTGGAGGGCTGGAGTTTGGCTACCCCTGTTTTAAATGATTGCACTAATTATTTGCTTTCCACCTTTTTTTCGGTTCAAAACCACCATAACACAGTCTTTTAAGCCATTTTATTTACATCCATTATGTGCCTATCCCACCTTTTTACCTCACAATATTTTGCTTTCTCTGACAACTCACACAGTTATTACCTTTTGTATCACTTCCTCTCCTCTTAGGGCTTGTTCACACCAAATGCAGACCAGATCTGCATGAGTTTCTGCACGTGCAGTGTGTTCTGTCGCGGTTTTGACGCTTTCCAGGCCATTTTTGTAGAGCCCTTAGGTTGAACGAAAAAATAGACATGTATACCCAGCTTTAGAGCCTCAAGACAAATAAGGGGGATTTTACTAAGACTAGAGCAGACGTAATATGGAGCAGTTGCACATGACAACCAATCAACTTCGCTCTGTTTTTCAGGGTCTGTTCATACCACAGTGTGTTCCAGATTGGTCAGACTCTAAAAAAGCACTGCATCACAACCCGGCCACCTCCCTGTGTTTGGGGGTGGGGGGTGGCAGTGCATTAAAGTCTATGGTACCGCAGTCCCACCCCCCTGCCCGCAGTGCGATCACCCGAAAGGGTGGCACATTAGTGCCTGTGTTCCAGTCCAGTGCGATCTGCAAAAATGCTGCAAACACTTTTTTTGCAGATCGCACTGAACTGGAAAGCAGGCACTAATATGCCGCACGTTCTGGTGCGGGCGATCACACTGTGGGTGGGGGGCATGGCTGTGGTGCCATTGACTTCAATGCCCTGCCACACCCCCTCCTGCCCCTGAACGCAGCAAGCTGGCCGGAGTGCGATATAGTGCGTTCCAGCAGCTGACCGCGCTGGAACACACTGTTTATTGTGTGAACCGGCCCTGAATGAACAAGATAGAATCTGGTTACTGTGCACAGCTGATCTAGATTCTGTCTGCTCTAATTTTAGTAATTTCCCTTCTTTGTAGTAGTAGTTTTGCATATATTATGATGAATTTATACACATTCAGACTCAATCCTATGGCACTCCTTTTTGTTTTGCCAGCTAGTTCCCTGTGTTTGGGTCCTCACACTGTAAAGTCTTCAGTAGGAAATCATCTCGCCTACTGGATCTTTTGATGCAGTAAATTCATGTTTTGTTTATTTTGTATTTTTACAATGTTGGCAGTTTAGAAAATGATGATCCGTAAAGTGTATTATTATCACAGCTTTCTTTTTTCAGGAAATAATTTACTGATGACATACTTGTAAAACATATGATTTATCGTCTTCCTTGCTTTTCATAGACTCTTGAATGCTACTAATGTGCAGTGGTAAAAAGATATAAAAGAATGGCTTTTGTTGGGTGGTTCACGAACTTTAACAATAGCTAAACTACCAACATTAGTATTTAAAGGAGAACTATGCGGAGAGTTAAATACACATCTCGATAGTTAGAGCCGGCCTGTGACACTGAAGCTGTCACACATCGGCTCTATAGATGGAGAACTGAGCGATCACATACCGCTGATCACTCAGTTCCTGATCATCTCCCTGCAGAAAGTGGTGACTGTCAGTCCCGGCTTCCGTCAGGGATTCCCCTGTCTTCCAGCACTCAGTGGAGGGACAGACAGGGGAGGGGGCGACCACAACTGGCTCTGGCTCTAGAGAGACAGAGCCAGCTGTTAATGAGATCCCAGCTGCAGCACGCCTCTGCGCTGTCAGGAGACAGCAGGTAATAACCCGCTATATGCTGAGTTTTGGTTTGGCCATAGATCTCTTTTTAAGTATGGCATGGTCAAACACTTATTCATATTGCATATGTGTAAGAGGTTGAGCATTGTGCAGAAGGTTTTGAGGGGAAAGGTTTTATTGAGCTCAACATCTGTGTCATCACAGGTACATTTCCTCACTAGTAGTTTTCAATATATCACAACTACAGTGTAACAAAGTCATTTGTCATAGTTTCCACATTGTATACATATGTGCCTTCTATTCTATATACGTACAGTTGTTTTCCCTTTTCCAGCAGGGAATGACAATTTTTTACAGGATGTGCAACCTGCGCTATAAATTGTTACGTGCTTAAGAGCTTCTCTAATCTTATGTGGTTGACTCCAAACCAGAGGGATGAAGAAAAGGGCAACACTGCTCTGTCCCTGAGTTTAGCTTGTGCAGAGCACTGTGGAGGTTTATTTGTAGAGATCTGACTCTACAGTACAACTAAGCCCAATCCAGGGTTAGAGGGGTGGAATGGAAGGACAGTGCAGCTTGGAAGGAGCTGAATAAAGTTGGATTTAAGCGTTAATCCTGCGGTATGCAGCTATCCACTTGCTACCAAACCAGAGAAGATCTGACATTCTAGATGCAGGTCAAATGTTTACTGACCTGTCCGGCAGCATAGTTACATAGTATTTGAGGTTGAATAAAGACATCAGTCCATCAAGTCCAACCTATTAGGATCTCATTCTAGGAGTACCTGTACCCCTGTATATTACCTGTACCCCTGTATATTACGGTCCCTTAAGAAATCGTCCAAAAGTTTCTTGAACAATTCCACATTATTTGCTGAAATCACCGCCTGTGGCAGTGAGTTCCAGACCCTAACTGATCTTACTGTGAAGAACCCCCTTCGCCCCTTGTGCTGGAATTTTTTTTCCACCAATTTTAGGTGATGGCCTCTACGCATAATTACCTGATGGCAGTCACATCATACCTCAAGGTCAGAATGCCCTCTACGGTCTCTGCATAGCTCCAGTCTCTAAAGCTGGCCATACACTGTTATTGTTTTCATTCAACCTGTGGGCTGAACGAAACAAAATCTAACATATTCCTCCATTTATGCACCCAATTAAACACCCCCCAAGCCATGTTTAATTGTTCTGGTCAGTTAATTCTTCTGGTCCTGCAAATATAAATTTGCATATTGAGGACTTTGGCAGATCTCAGCATGTACAAGGCATTTTCGGACAATACATTTGCAAATATTTTCAAAACAGATTTCCCATGTTATAGAGAACATATCAAAAATGTTAATTGGGCTTCAGTAGAACATAAGTGTCAAGAATCTCTTTGTTCAAGTCTCAGTCTAAAGCTGGCCATACACCTTACAATTATCTGCAGATTTTCTGTGGTCAGATGGAAAAGGTGCAACAGATTCCTCCATCTACACTTAACTGTGTGGATGGAGTCATCTCCACCTGGGCCAATCTGTTGCACTTTTTCCATCTGACCACAGAAAATCTGCAGATAATTGTAAGGTGTATGGGCACCTTTAAGCTAGCCATAGACTGCATGAAATTCTGTCTGGCATCCTTCTATCAGAAAATCATTTTCAACGATCAGCGACTGCAGCCTATCGGCTTTTGTCACCGTTTGGGTATTCTGACACCGTTATGCACTATGCCCAACCTTGCCCACTCTGGAATGGGCACTCTTTTGCTAGTATTTTCTATACATTTGTGCATACAGTACATACACTGTGCATTTTCTGAAAACTGTGGTTTGTAGTGCCAGTTTATCAAGTGTATACATAAAAAGCAGAAGTGTCATTTGTTGATTAAAACAAAAACTGAACAGAAGGTGTTTGGTTTGCAAATGAAATGTTAAGGGTAATTTCTACTTGTGTGTAGGTGTTAGGTTATAACATACTAAATAATAGTAACATTGTTCATGACTTTGTTGGATATTCTGTAAAGTATCTTTTAGTTCCCTAATTGTGTAAGAGCACTTAAGTGACAACACAGCAACCACCCTCTGGTGTAACATCCTAAGGCGTTAATTTGAGGAGAACTCTTGAGTAAAAGTGGTAATAAAATGTGAGGAAAGCTGTATAGTAAGCATGACATTGTGCAGCCAATTTTTTCCTTTACCCACCTAGTTCATAGATCTGAAGATAGTAGTCAGTAAGTATGATTGTGTTTGATTGCTTTGTGCTGGCCATAGACTGATTAGCACATTTGTGGATATACACTGTTAGAAATTTGTCCGGTTCACAGGAATCATCCTAAAACAGTGTGTGGTCCTGCTGATTCGACAAAAGTCGATTGAGTAAGTCGATTCTGATGGCTGCAGGCACAGGCTGTCACAATACAATAGCCACGGTAGGAGACTCGTTCATCCATGCTGTTTAACGTGGATTAAGGAAGCTGAGTTTTTCTAAATGTACTTGTGTATGGTCAGCTTAAGAGTCTGAGGTAGCTAAAATTACGTGTGTGACGTAAAATTACGCATGACAAGTGAGTTGTGAAAATTCTAACTGTTATTTTATAATCATTTGGTTAAATATCTAACCGTAAATAATAGAGCTAAACACTACCTGGAAGACCTTCAGTTTTTTTAACCAGTTGACATCCGCGGTGTTAAACCCCCTTCCCATCCAGGCCATTTTTCAGTATTAAGCGCTGCGGTACTTTAACTGACATTTATTCCGTCATGCAGCGCTGTACTGAAATGAATTTTATACCCTTTTTTGGGGACAGATAGAGCTTTCTTTTGGTGGTATTTATTCACCACTGGGGGTTTTATTTTTTTACTATATTAAGGAAAAATTACCGAAATTTAAAAAAAAAAACAGTTTCCCCTATATTAAATGATAAAACATTTATTACCCAATTTTTTGGTAAAATATAAAAGATGGGGTCACGTCGGGTAAAAAGACACTAAACATGTCAAGCCTTAAAATTGCGTGCGCGCGCGAAACCTCAAAAAACGATAATACCCAAAATTGGCCATAGACGACGCTTTAAAAGCTGTTACCGCTCATCAGTTTAGTGTTATCAGTGATTGATGGCCCTAAAATGATTGCTCTCACTGCGACGTTCGCGGCGATATGTAACGTGTAGCGCAATTGTAATTTTTGTGCGCTGGGGCACTGGACGCGTATTTACGTTTATAGGCGCGTAAACGTAGGGGTGGGGGAGTTAAACATTTTGGGGGGTTTTTTTCCCCTTTTTTTATATGTGGCTTTTATTTTATTTTTTTATGTGTTACTTTTCTTTTTTTTTTTTTATATTTTTTTTTTTGCACTTATTGTTATTGCTATTATATAGGGGGATAACAACCCCCTATATAATAGCAAAGGCACACTGACAGGTCCTCTTTATGGAGATATTAGGGGTCTCTAGGACCCCTAATATCACCTATGGACCCCAAAAGAAGCTGATAAAGCAGAGATCTGCTTTATCAGCTTCTTCTCTCTCCAGATGACTGACAGGTGAATGCGGAAGTGATGTAACACACATCACTTCTGCATTCACAGCCCGGACGGGGATCAGCAAGGAGCTGATCTCCCGTCCTCCTCCTCCTGACGCCCTCGGAGCCGGTCCCGGGATCCAAGATGGGGCAGCGGATCCCGGGAATCAAGGTGAGGGGTCAGGGGGAAAAAAAAAACAAAAAAAAAAACCGGAAGCGCCGAGCGGGCGCGGGGGGGGGGGGGATGGGTGCCGCGAACGAGCACATATAGGCGATCGGCGGGCTATGGACCCGCTGATCGCCGATATGTGAAACACCCGGTAACGGGTGTGTGCATTGATCGGGTCTTTTCTGCCCGTGCGTGCCCGCTAGGGGGCGCGCGCGAGCAGAAAAAAATTGCCGTCTGGAGACGGCAACCCGCCAATGCTGCAGTGCCGTCCGTCCGTTTTTTTACTACGGGCGGACGGCAAGAGGTTAAAGCACGGTGCAACCTAAACTATTGACATGCTTTGTTTTTGGGGTTTTTTTCTTCATGTTACCCTTTTGCATCTCCGTGCATTTTTCTTTTGCATCTCCGTGCATTTTATTACAGCTTTTCTTTTCATTCTAGCTTGTCCCCACTTCCATTCTTGCCTAGACCTAGAAGTGTACCTGCAGGGCGTCTGCATGCCTAGGTGCTGGATTTTATACACCTGTGGCCATGGAGGTGATTGGAACACCTGAATCCAATGATTTGGAGGGGTGTCCCAATACTTTTGGTGATATAGTGTACGGCTGAGCTCCCTGGATTCCTTACACTACACTTTTTTAGGATTTATTAAAAATACTAATGTGCAAATAGATCTGCTGAGTGATATTGTTGTGTGAGGGGAAAAAGGTATGTTTTTAATGGTAATGAAAGCAAGGAAACTGGATTTATCTGTGCCTGAGGCTGTTGACTGGCTCTGAACTTGGCTTTTACATCATTTACCAAAGTTTCTGCAGATGGAGCAGTGTGCTGCCAAACTAAGGAGCTGTGTGTGTAGATATTTGTGCCTATTCACTGATGGGGCTTTAAATGGTAAAAATGCTGCAATGATTTAACCTAAGAAGGAAGAGCGTTGTCATGCTACCAAAGGAAGTGCAATGGTTTTACTAACAATCAACATTTTTTTTTTTTTTTAAACAGTTTCCAAGGGGCACTACGATGCTGGTGTGGGCAGCCTACATCACATATATGATTCTATAGTTTGGCCAAAGTTCTACCCTAACGCCTGAGATATTCCCTTGCAAACGGTGTTTAAGGTGCCCATACACTGCACGATTCTCGTACGAGAATTGCGTGAAATCCCGCGATCGTACGAGAATCGTGCAGTGTATGGAAGGCGTGCGACCGTTTCTACTGTACGGTCGCACGTCTTCCGTCGAACCAGCAGGCTAGAAAACCCGCCGTGAATCGTACGATTCTCGGCGTGTTAGTGACCTGCTGGTTTGACAACTGCCGAACAGGCCGGTGTGTGTGCACACGCACACAGCCCGTTTGCAGTCATCGTAAGCCCGCCCCTCAGGGGGGCGGGCTTGCGATGATCGCAAGTACGATCTGCCTGTCCAAGATGGGCAGATCGTACGTTTTTTTTAAAAGTACTTTACAACCCTCGCAAGACAAGTCTTGCGAGGGTTGTAAAGTGTATGGCCACCTTAAGAAAGACAAACGGGAAATGCCAGAACACTCATCCTAAAGGTGATGGGCTGCAACACCACATAAAGTTCCATTCCTTTTAGCTAACAGGAAAATAAGGTATGCATTAAGCATAGATTTGCCTAAACAGGGTGATTAAAGCTGCACTCGAGCACAAAAACTGTCATTTTAAAAAACGAAAAAAAAATGTTGCCTCATAGTTCTCTTTTAAGGAATGTTTTTTAGCACCTTGTTGAATCCATGCCAAAAAAGAAGCAAAATGAGGTCCTACCTGATACTAGCCAGGTGTTGTAATAAAATGGCCACGGAGTGTATATGTAGTCCTATATTGGCACCTATTGTTAGAATAAGCATTTTCAATCATTATCTTTGTCTAATTAACAGGTTCTTTTTAAGCACTTCAAGACCAGGTGTTTAGACCCCCTTCCTGGCCAGGCCATTTTTCCGTATTCAGCGCTGCGGTACTTTGACTTACGTTTATTCCGTCATGCAACGCTGTACTGAAATGAGTTTTATACAATTTTTTTGGGGACAGATAGAGCTTTCTTTTGGTGGTATTTAAACACCACTGCGGTTTTAATTTTTTTACTATATTAAGGAAAAATTATTAAATTTTGGGGAAAAAAAGTTTTTGTTTCATTATATTAGAACACATTTATTATTACCCATATTTTTGGTAAAATATATAGGGGGTCTCCAAGACCCCTAATGTCACCTAGGACCCCCCTGAAGAAGCTGATGAAGCAGAGATCTGCTTCATCAGCTTCTCTCCAGCATCTGAAGCTGGAGAGTGACACAAGAATGTGGAAGTGATGTAATATACATCAATTCCGCATTCTGACAATGGAGAGGGGAACGGAGGGAGATCGTGTACCGACCTCCCTCTGATCCCCTGTGACAGAGGCAGTATGCTGGTCCCGGGCTCGCACCGGGCACAGCGCAGCCCGGGACCAGCGTGACAGCGGGAAGGTGGGGGGGGGGCCGCACATCCCGGGACCTCATACAAGCATACAAACGACTTGCTCTATAGCCGGCGGATCGCTTGTATATTAACGGGCATCGCTGCCTGTTATCAAATGTCGGCATTTCCCACTCGCGTGCGCCGCGTGGTGTGGCTGAGCGGACATCTAAAGACGCCCACTCAGATCTAGAGAGCTCCTGGCCGGCCGTTTTTTTACAACGGCCGGCCGGGAAGTTGTTAAGCACTTATTATAGACTTTATCATAATACTTTTGTATACAAAATGTGTGAAAACTAAGTGACCCTAAACTCAGGAGTTAAAGTGACATTAAACCCTCAGATTTTTTAACATAAAACAATACTGTAATGTGCGCCTTACTGTAATCCATGGTTGTTTCCCTTCTCTTTGATGCTCTTCCTTTTAAAACTGTATCTGTTCTCATGCTTGGAGAGAACTTCTGTTTTGCAGCAGACTGCCTTGTCTCACACGGTGTCTGTGTATCCGTTTGTATAGGCTGTAACCTGAGCCAGCATTACAGGAAGAGGCCCTGAGCTGAAAAGGGAAGTTCTCTCCAAGCATGAGAACAGATACAGTTTTAAAAGGAAGAGCATCAAAGAGAAGGGAAACAACCATGGATTACAGTAAGGCACACAATACAGTATTGGTTTATGTTAAAAAATCTGAGGGTTTAATGTCACTTTAAATCTTAAAAATACATTGAAGTACCTCAACCAATGACAAAAATGTATCCTATGTGTGTATCACCCGGCTGTAGATCATGGTCCCTGTGTGTTGTGTAATGTAGCCACCACTCCAAGCTCCCTCCCGTGATGGACTATAAGGTCAATACACATTAGTAAACTTAATGTGAGATTGTAGTAGATCACCGGAGCAGGCTGGGAGTGGTGGTTACTTTACAAAAAGACAGGGAACATGGTATGAATTCAGAGATGATTTGAGGCTCTACAGCCAAAAAATGCACAAATGCCTGAGTTTTGTGTCACTTTATTTATCTGCGAAGGATTCAGTGATTTCACAGTTTGCATTTCTTGGCTTTCAGAGAGTAACTCGTCAACCTGTGTGATCAGACAAAAAGCCACTCTGGTAATTAGGTGTACTTGTACAGGGAGTATTTGTGTTTCCTGCATATACAGTGTATTTATAGAAACCTTTAATTGTACTGTAATGTACCCAAAACTTTGGTCTGTTTTTCCGGAATCACAATCCCTTTAACCTCTTCTAAAAAGGTTTGACCTGCTGTTTGCTGAAATTGTAGACAGGTTATATGTAAACATTACATCTAGCCAGTACCTAGTGACTCATGCACTTATATAAACTGACTTGAAGGTCGCTATATTAAGCAGCAAACGCCAGGTAAACCTAAAACTAGCTAGTAAGTATGCTTTCAATACGTTTTCCGCTTAGCTTGGAGCGCAGAGATCATGATCCTGCTGATGTTGCTACATACTGCTTCTGGGTGAGACTACAAAAGAAAGGTATAAAATAGTCTAAAGGAACAGCTTGTTTCCAATATTTGTCTAAAGCTTGGCCATGCACAATGCAATTTTAGTCTCATGTACCAAATAACCAATATTATGTAATGTTATGGCTTGTCTAAACAGTCCATTCAATTTGTATCCAACATCCAAGGAATGCACTTGCAATGTATACTTCTTGGTAGAGGAAAAGTAGACTGAACAATCAGAATGTAATGTGTATGGCCAATATTTTGAAAAGAGCTTTTGCACAAGAACAGAGAAAGTGTTCTGTAGAGCTGGGCTTCTTCGGGGTTTTTGGAAAGCAAAAACTCTTAAGATTGTTTTATGAAAGATCATTCCATAGAAAACATTTCGGTAAACACATTCCATAGTGTTATGCCCTCTTTACCATCTTGTCTTATTTTATATTGTAATGTTGTAATGTCTTCCTTGTATTGTAAAGCGCTGCACAAACTGTTATGCGCTATATAAATCCAGTGTAATAATAATGTGTGTGAATAGGGAATATATGCATGCGCTAAGAGTATATTGTACATAAGACAGAGCACATTGAGGGAAGGGGGTCTACAGTAACCCACAATAGCTTCCTGCGCTGGTAGTTATGGCTTCCGTAGTGATTCACAATGAAAATGTCAATACTTCTATCATCAATGATGACACTGCTACTGTCAAATGGGTTATCAGACCATAAAAAAAATGGTGTTGGAACCTTTCAGGGAAGTCCTGAGATGCTTTCTCATTTTTGTAGCACAATCTTCCTCATTTGTAGTATATTATGCTTTTATTCCATGGAGCTGGGGAGTATCTATTTACCTTGCTCGATTGCTTGCTGTGGCCAACAAACCTTCCTGTCTTTGTTGTGCCTCAGTTGGCCCTAATCAATCTATCTGTAGATTGTGTTATTTTTAAGAACCATCCACACAACAACAAACAGGTCGTTAGTGAACTTGCATACATGTTGTATTTGTGTTCAAAACATGGTAAGCTGTGTAGTGAGACTGCTTTGCTAAGCTTTACAATAACTTGTGTTTGCAATATAAACAACCATCAACATTTTTTTTCTAGGTGAAGACTTTTAAGTAGGTTTGACCCAGGAAAAAGTTGCTGTCATTTTACTTTTTACTTTGGTGTGGTAAGTACATCATTTCCTTCATGCGCTTGGTTCCTTTTTTTTAAATATTCTTTACAATGAGTCAGTTTTGTGGGGAATTTGGATACCTTTTTTTTGGCCAGAAACAAGGAGATCCACTGATATTCCCTTTTTTTTATTTAATTTTTTTCAAATTCTTTAATTAATAAGATCCAGCAATATACACACATCTTCAAGAAAGGTTTATAACTTGATAAGTAATCAACAAGAAACATTACAAAAAGGTCCAGGGCAAAAAGAAAAGATGATAGTTGGTAATTGTCTAATAAAATCGGGTTTTGTAAGTGGGGGTTTTTAGGTGCCTGGTGGCATTGTCAAGGAAACCAAATTACTGAAAGAACATACTGTATGGTTTTTCTTTATTTACCATTATGTTCTACCAATGTCTTGGAGTCGTTTTTGGAGGTGTATATTATAAGGAAGAAAATATGGATGTTTACAATCATGTTTTATATTGTTTTAACACTTTTTATACAATAAAGATTTTATTTTATTTTTTTACGTAAAATTGAAGTAATCATGGACTCTGTCACTAGGCACCTGAAAAAACCCCACTTACAAAACCCTATTTTTAAAAATGTTTAATTACATTTTTTTTTTACATGATTTATTAGGGGTGTGGTGCCAATCACTCGGTTTTTCACAAAACCTTTTTCTAGTTGGTAATTGTCGTTTTGTGTGTGGTTTGAGCCCAGTAGATCCTTGTTGTTGTGCGTGTTTGTTGGGTTTTTTTTTTTTTATGTGACAAGCTACAATTCCGCTCCTATATTCTAGGGCAAGTGCAGTGGTCCTAAAATTTTCTGAAGACTGCAGTCTCCAGAACATAACTCGGTGTCCCAAGGTTGTGCAAAGTTTCAAACCCTTATACACTGTAAAATCAATTTTGGTTGGATTATTTGTTCTAGCCTGATGTCATATTAATAGATGATCTGTGTCAGCATGTGCATGTATTTCAAAGTCAGGGATTGACTGGGACAACTGCTTGAATCGTTAACTGATGGGGGGGCTGCCTTCGTGTGTGTGTTTTTTTTTGTTTTTTCTGAATTCCATTCTACATTTGCATTGCAAAATTGAGTCAAGGGCAAATTATATTGTATATTCTCATTGTGGATTAGACCTGTCGTGTGGCCGTTGTATTCTCATGCATACAAGTGATTTTCTGCAGTATGCTACGTTACAACCGCCTAGGCTTTATAGGTTGAATAAATAATCATGAGTAGCATAGTGTGACATGCAAACCAGGCACCATTCAAGGTCTGTTGGTTCTAAACATATTTCTACAGAAACACATCTGGCCAGCGTAAATGCATCTTGCTTTGCTTGAGAACTTCCATCTTAACCCCAGAATGTACTATAAGATATCAGACACACAATTTACACTTTCCTGAGACCTTCTGATTAAAAATGCTTATAAAAGTGAGGATGGAGGGGGGCTGGCTGTCAGACATCTTACCTGCTGATAGTTGGCCCAGAACCTGTGTAGGGCATATATCCCTGAATAAAGGACATGGTCTCCCTACTGACCCACAACATTTTTTTTTACCCTCAATCTCATTGGCATTCTTATTTTTTAATTTGCTGATCCTTTTATATATTGTTGTTCCATGCACCCCTTTGACCGTTTATGCATTACTTGTTCCCTTTGTATTGTATAAGAAATTCAGATGAGCACCAATATAATTATTATGCCGCTGTCAGCCCTGCCTAGTATACGTAAATTCTGCTCTTCTGCAATGTATGCTTTGCTGTCAAACCTAAATCGACTATCGTATGTTTAAATTTATTCTATACCCACGGACTTAAATGTAAAGAAAATGGGGAACAAATAATGGTGCAATTGCCAGCAAGGAGGAAGAATGTGTATGGCAATAAAATTGTGTAACATACACTGTATATGACAAAGTAAACAAACCCTTTTGATGGTATATCTGCCTTGCTGCATGTTCCCTCAGATCTGGCTTATGCTACAGAGTGATGTGTGTGTAACCAAAGTACAAGATGTCCAAGTTCCTGAAGCATTTCACCTCTGTTGGTGACAACCATAATGATAAACAATGGAATGAAGAGGATGAGGAGAAGCCGGAACCACAAGAAGAATCCAAACAAACACCTCATCCATTCACTTCTGCATATTCCTTCCGGGATGCCCTAAAATGGCTTTTCAGCTGTCACAAGTTTCAGGTGCCGTCTTTGTTTTGTCATTTTTCTTTAAATTTTCTGTTGGTGGAGATTTTCTAGCATGTGATCATAGTAGTCCATGTTCCTAATGGTGTCCTCTTACACTAGGTGATTTTCGTATCACCAGCCTTTCAGGGAACGAGACACAATGTAGATCATTCATCAATAGAGGAAAATAAGGACAAAAAGATTTTGCCTAAAGCAGTAGATCCAACATTTCCTTTGTACAACATTGTAATTGCATTAGGAAACATGAGCAGGTTTGTTTTTTGGTTTTTATAATGTGTTATAAAAGTGGCTTTTATGTTCCCATCATATAGTAATATGTGTATTTCATGCTTGATGACTTGGCTAGGGAACATCTTATACTAAAGCATAGTGTTCCCTACTATGTCAGGTAAAGGTCTTCTGTCTGGGGGTATATTTGCTCTAAAATAGTTTAAGGAGCAAAATGAAAAGTGCAGTACCTATAGTAACCAATCAGAATCCATCTTACACTGGTTTGCCACGAACAAAGTCAATTTTCCTTAGTTACTGTAGGTTAATGCAGTTAGCACTTTGCTTCTTGCATTATGTACTGGAAAAGGATGGTGCTGTAGGAACATTCTGTATTACACTCCCTTAATGCATTCCTTTTATGCAGCAAAGAATTGCTGCTATGTAGTAAAGATATAGCCTACTTTCATAGCATTTCTGCCAAACTGCACACAGCTGTTTTTTGGCTTTTTGGCCATCATCCATGCAGTGTATGCAAACCATGGCTTCTATGGAGTGGGATTCAACAAGACAGTATAACATACAGGGTATTGTAAGAAGGCATTAAAGGAATTAAAAAGCCTTTAAATGGAATCCGTGCGTAGCACAGTAAAGCCTTCTTAGAACAGAAGAGATACATGTCTCATTCCATTGCATATTCCAAATATAAGATTAGCCCTTATTTTCAGGACAGTGGGTGGAGCCATGGAAATGAATTATGGCTCTCTGTCCTGAAATGAGGAGGGAAAAGCACATACAAATAATAAGAACAGCGCTCTCGGATTGGGCCAAGGGAATAGGGTGCTATAGCTCTACCTTGCCTGCAGCCCTAGGAGACAGGAGGAGTGCCTGCACTTGTGGAACAAAAAACAAACGTGAGGGCGCAAGGCTAGAGGGACTATGAAACTTATTGAAACAAAGTGTGTGTGCCATCATCTGCACCCCTGTCCACCCCTCTCTTCTCATTTTCCCGTGATGAGCTACCCAAGGCAACACACTAACCTCCACTGATTGCACTACCTTGGACTCCACGATTTCCTTCACTGTTCCACATCCATCCGGTCCCGAGACCCACTTAAAAGTAAGTGATCCATCTCCTCTTGCTTCCCTCACTTTGTTTCAATAAGTTTCATAGTCCCTCTAGCCTTGCGCCCTCACGTTTGTTTTTTGTCCTGAAATGAGGAATAGCCCTCTAATTTTTGGGGTATGCAATGGAATGATACGTGAATACTTTCTGTTCTAAGAAGGCTTTACTGTGCTATGTATGTATTTGGTTGGACGGTTTCCTGTAGACATGCATTCTAGTAGTGCACCGGCAAAAAATTCATTTTCGTTTTCATTCGGATTTTCCGTTATGTACTTTTTCGGGATTCAGGTTCGAAAGTCAATTTGTTTCGGGATTCGGATTCAGACAAAATTAGTTAGAGGTAGTCTGTATTTTCGTCCCGGGTGAATTTCATTAGACAAAAGGAAAACAAAATAAAAAATGACTCGAGGGTCTGGTAGGAGTTTCAAGGGGACCCCATGTTTTCTCCCATTTTTTGGGGGGGGGGTGGGGATCCCCCTTTAAATTCTTATCAGACCTAAAAGGCCTGGTCTGGCTTTTGAGGGGAACCCTGCGCCCTTTAATTTTTAACTTGGGGGGTTCCTACCAACATTCCTACCAGACCTAAGGGGTCCAGCATCAATTGGGGGGGGGAGGGAGGAACCTTTTGTCTAATGTCACTTTGCTGCACTGATTTCGGGACAGAAATTCGTACAAACTGCGGCTAACAAATTTCGTCGGAAATTCAGATTTATTGTCATTAGTCATTTCTATCATTCGGTGATTCGGATATATCCGGATCTCCAAATCACAAAAATCTGTCCGAACAACTAATCTTTCCGAAACGCATCGCACATGTCTAGTTTTCTGATTGCTTTAATCCCTTCTCGCATCCTCTATGGTTGTACTGTCTTGACTGCCTTAAGTAACATGGTTTTTGACTACAGTCACAGAGTATGAGTAAAGGTGCCCATACACCTTACAATTATCTGCAGATTTTCTGTGGTCAGATGGAAAAAGTGCAACAGATTGGCCCAGGTGGAGATTACTCCATCCACACAGTTAAGTGTAGATGGAGGAATCTGTTGCAACTTTTCCATCTGACCATAGAAAATCTGCAGATAGTTGTAAGGTGTATGGCCAGCTTTACATTGAGCATTGCTTGAAAAATGAGCAGAAATCCGATAACTGAGACGGGTGGTTATAGAGAGGAGCTTTAGTGTTCCTTTGTTGGCTTTGTTAGCGAAGGCATGTGAAGGACAGGGCAAAGTCAATCTCTTCCCTGGTATATTTCTCATTGTATTTTTTTTAGGGCTGCACCGATATATCGCCTGCTGAAACCTATCGGCCAAAAATGGCACTCTTGGCAGAATGCCGAAAGTGCAATTTTTCGGCCGAAATAGCGGCGCATCCCTGGTTTCTCTGTTTTTAGATCCCTAATATTCCCCGGAATACCTTACAGTAAAAAATAAAAGTCTTTAATAAAAATAAAATATAAAAAAATTTAACTTTATAAAAATATATTTTAAAAAATTTGAACAAAGTAAGAAAACATTTTCGGTTTCGGCCTGACCTTTTTTTTTTTTTCTTTTCTTTTCGGTTTTAAAATGTTCATTTTGGTGCACATATATAATTTATTTTGTGAGTCCTTGTAGCAATGTGAATTGAACTGTACATATGGAAAAAATGTTACTGAACATTGCTGTGCTGTCTTTACAGATTTTCATTGTGTGCCTTGTTCTTCTGGATGCCTTATTTGTGCTGATTGAAATCCTTCTCGACTTGGAACTGTTAGAGGGAAAAGTTGATCATCTTATACCAGAGGTAAGGAGGGCAACTCTGAAAAGATGGGAGGGGCTGCAGAGGGAAGGGGCATAGAAGAATTGATAAAAGACAATTGAGGTCCTTGGTGTTTGTCGAAAAGAAAAGTCTACCTTGCACGCTTAAAAGCCCCAGTGTCAATGAATGATTTACATTGTTGCATATATTTTATTCCATATGCAGTCGATAGGCTAACACAATACACATTCAAATCCCACGTGTTTATTGCAATAGACAGACGCATTTCCTCTCATACTTTTTCACTTTGTTTTGATGACTGAAATTACAGGAGGTGTATACTGGGGAATTCAATAAAAGCTTTGTGCCAGGTTTCTGGCGGTATAGACTTTTAAAAGCTCCTGTGCCAATTTAAAAAAAAAAAAAAGCCCAGTCACCAGTTTTAGTAGCTTTACCAACATGTGCGACAGATTCAAGTTGTTCTTAATAGTTCCACTTTTACAAATTGGGACTATGGCTGCACTAAATTTTAAATATTTACCTCCAATATGGACACAACCAAATTGGAGGTAATTAAGACTAACCCTAAGCTGGCATACAGAGACAGGCAAAGTGGGGATGCCAAGGGACTAGTTTTCCATTGGGTCCCCTCTGCAGGCTGTCTATTGGCTATGGAATCCATGTTCTGCCTTTCGTAAATCACTAGGGGAGAAGACCTGATGGTGAACTAGTCCCTCAGTTTTCCCATCAGGCTCCACCCACCTACTAGTAAACCTTCTCAGCCATTTAACCGCTGTGGGAAGGGGAGGTGGTGTGCTGGACGGAGTGTCCAGCTTGGATCAGTGTGCCTCCATGTTTGTGCTCAAATTCATGTACCGGTTTCAATCTGGGGCAGGCACCGACATTTGTTGTACAAATGCACCATGGACTTCTATCTCTGCATTTCTGTGTGGATGTATTTTTACAGGCCATATTCTATTAGTTACTAGGCATTTTCTTCTTTCCTTTTTTTTTTTTTTTTTTTAATCTAAATAATTTATTTTCTAAATATCTTTCAAGGCTGGCTATATTATTTTTGATTATTTTTTGGGCAGTGTATGGAGTGATTTATTTTTTTTACTTTTTTGTATAAATATCATTTTAGTGTGTTTAAAGTATTTTAATTGCATATGGAATAGAATATTTTGCATGATGTATATGTTTACTTGTGGTTGGTACCTGTATGCAAGGCGTGTGGGGTTTTTTTTCCCTGTTCTTTTTGCTATGTTCAGCTTTGTTCTTCCTGTGTTAGCATGTCCTTTTGTATATTTTATGTGGTGCAGGTGCTTCCACGTAGGACATACTTAAAGGGGTTCTAAACCCTCTGTGTTTTTTGCCTATATCTACTGCTATCCAGTAATAAAAGTTGTGTTTTTATCATAGCTTGTAATCTGTTTTTTGGGACTTAACGGAATGGAAGGTTTTAAATGGAGCCGATATTGGAGAAATGGGTGTGGCCACTGAAAGGGTGTGGTTACTGAGGGGCGTGGTTACTGAGGGGCGTGGTCACTATGGGGCGCTGTAAAGCTTTCTCGCACAGGGCGCCTAAAGACCTAAGGCCGGCCCTGCTGCTATCAAGCAGTTTTTTTTTAACAGCGGTTTAAACCTACCTTGTTTTCGCTGCGCGCGGCCGCCCGAGAATCCGAAACTGTTCATGCGGCTGCAAAGCATCTTGGCGCAGTTCGGATTCTCGGCCGGGAGACGAGCAGAGAATCGCAAGGTAAGTTTATGGACGCGTGCACCCGCATGCAGACACCGCTGGATCAGAAGTGCCTTCAAGCAGAGAGGAGTCAGCGCTGGATTGGAGAGCCGCCGCACCGCTGGAGGGACAGATGAAAACATCAGGAAAGAAGAGGAAGATCGGATTAAGAGACATCATTTAAGGTAAGTGCTAACATTAACATTGGGGGAGGGGGGAAAAAAATGATCCTTTAATGTCACTTTAATGGTGGTTTATACTACTGTATGCCGAAGATAATTAATTCATCTTGGGATAGCGGGTTAAAATGAATGTATAAATACACGCAGAGTAGGTATCTTAATATGTAAACATAAGTTAGGTTATTCCATACAGCCAATAGTAATATATAAAACGCATGTAGCAACCAATCAAAAAGGCTATTTCAGTGATCTGACTCTTAAACCGAATCTGGTTATTGCACAAGACATATCATTGCTGTTTGCATTGCAGGAATAATTTCTTGTAAAGTGTTCTCAGTCATACTTTTAGAGGATACATGAGACAAGGTAAAGGCTTACTTTGTTGTCCTCTCCTTCTGTGAATGCTAGTTGCATGGCTGCCACAATGATTCAGTGTCTGCAGTACTTTGAGTCCTTGATCTGGACCAAGTATGCAGATCAGGAGTTGTTCAATGCTTGTTTTGGGTCACTCAGAATATTGAAGCACTTTTATGACGGTCAAGAAACTTGCATTTTCAGAAGGAGATCAGCCATGGCATCCCCTATATTTATTTCAGCAGGGAAAGGAGTTGATGATATGAAATAAATAAGAAGCAGAGAGTGCTGTACAGTGACATGACGGCGCATAATGTTTTAGCAGTGTCTGTGAGAAGCATAAAGTTACTCAAACGCTTCATTGCTTTCATAACAATCTGCAGATTTCCATACTGGGGGTTACACAATGCTACGGCTTATTACACCAGAACTTGCACAAACCAATCTGATATGGTGTGATGTGGGGACAGATGTATTAAAGGCTAGTATGACCTTTTTTGCGCATTTTCTGTATAAACGCTGAGCCAATATGGAGTGGTTTCAGGATGTACAGTGGTACCTCGGTTCACGGACTTAATTGGTTCCACGATTCTGGTCGCAACCGAATTGGTTGTGAACCGAATCACATTTTCCCATAGGGTTCAATGTAAATCAGGTGAATCCGTTCTGAAAAAATTAACCACAAGTTTCTTTTTACCACCATTCTTGCTCTGCACATTCTTGTCACCTTCATTAATGCTCTGCGCTTTCTTTTTCCCACCATGCTTGCTCTGCACTTTCTTGGGAGCCATGCTGGATTGAATACAGTAATACTGTACAGCAGGGCTCAAAATCCTGTCTGTGAGCAGGATCGATCCCTGGTTATCTGGGGGTGATAGTGAGGTCTGCTGCCCGTTGGCCCCCTATGTGATTAGCAATAGGAGTAGTGTAAAAAAAAAAAACACTGTTTAAAAATTTAAAAATTAACATATAAAAAAACACAAAAATGTTGTTTAAGTTCCCTGCCTCCCACGTGCACGCACATACGCAAACGAGCGTCGGTGCGCCTATGTGCGAAAACAACAATTGCGCTACACGTTACATATCGCCACGTACATCGGAGTGTTCATTCCAGGGCCATAAATCACTGTTCGCACTAAACTGATGAGCGGTAAAAGCGTTTTAAAGTGCTCCCTATGGCAAATTTGGGGTATTGACGGTTTTTGCGGCTTCACGGGCGAACGCAATTTTAAGGCTTGACATGTTTGGTATCTATTTACCCAATGTGACCCCGTCTTTCATATTTTACCAAAAATTGGGTATTATATTATGTTTCTGTGCACTAAATTTTAATTTAGTTTATTTTGTCCTAAAAATACTGGTTTGATAAACATTTTGCGCAAAAACCATGTGACATAAAAAAAATTGCAACTATCATTTTTTTTATTCTACAGGGCCTCTGCTATCAGAACATATATAATTGTTTGGGGGGTCTGAAACTGTTTTCTAGCCAAAAATTCATATTTTATCATGTGTGCGCAAATAGTAAGAAAATGCTCCGGACAGCAAGTGGTTAAGGAGACAAGCCGGTCTATAATTGGGCACCATAGTTTACAGTTCAGTGATGCCAGTATCTTCCATATCTTTCGTGTCTTCAGTTATGACATAATAAAGTGTTCTCTCTTCAGTGTTGGCTTACTAATTGTTGCTGTTTTTTTTGGTTTCATGTAGATCTTTCACTACTTGAGTGTCTCCTGCTTGTCCTTCTTCTTGTTGGAAATTGTGGGTAAGCTCTTCGCCTTCCGGCTTGAGTTCTTCCACCACAAGTTTGAAGTGTTTGATGCTGTCATTGTTATTATATCATTTATCATCGATATCGTCTACATCACCCGTGAAGAGGTATTCAGTGCTGTTGGACTACTCATCTTACTCCGACTGTGGAGGGTGGCCAGAATTGTGAATGGTAAATACACAACTTTAAATATTTCATACATGTTCACAAAATGTGACTCGCTCATCATTCTGCTTTGTAATGTTCTCATTGGGAGACCGGTGCATTTCAAGAAATCCGAGGCATTCAAATCTTTAGGACCCACATGGTAATGATTTCATTACCACTAAATACAGACTAGTGGATCTCTGAACTGGTAATTGATCAGATCTCTGTGTAGCCTTTGAAAGGTTAGTAGGTCCACCCAAGATTTCCAAAGGCCGCTCTAGAGTAAGATGCAATGCTCTTGTTCTTCTGATCTCTAACGGAATCACTCCAAAATGTATACAGGATTCTGTTCTGAGGGAGGTTTTCACAAGGGCAAGAAAATCGTATATACCTATAGGCAGGGCGGTTACAGCACCTAGAAACCTCTCCTTACATATTTAAACAGTACAAATGGGAATTTTGTTTATTAATTGAAGGCATTAATACTGTAAGAAGACCTCCTTAGGGCCTGTGTTGGTGGCTTTGGGCTTGTGTCAATGGCATCAGTTTGAGATGCTTTAAAGTGAGCACAAATTTTTTTGTTTTCTTGAACTTTTGCTCTAAAATGATAAATGTTGTTGGATTAAATATGTTGCATAAGATTTGTATCTTATTTACTATAGTCAGGGTAGATTGGCATCAGCCCCACGGGAAGTGCATGGTTTTTTACGAGTCAGACTATATGCGTAGGCTTAGAATGTCAGAAGGGAAAAAGTACAACCACTATGTAGCACTACGAAGCAAGAAGTTGTGAAAATAGGATGCACTGCACTAAAACAAATGGGTGTATAAATGTGAAATCATTAGATATAGCAATGTAATAAATTGGTTCATATATAAACCCTTTTATATATGAGCTCCTTTATTAATTGATATATCTATGCATTGTTGAGACATTGTTATTTCCAGCTGTACATATGAGGTTCTTTACAATCTCTGTTGTGAGACTTGGTGACAAGCTTGGAAAATATTGGCCCAATAACACCTAAAACGTGCACAGAACTGGTACCCACTGATTAAAACTCTGTATTATTAAAGCTGAACTCCAGGGACAGAAATTCTCATTTCAATATATTCCTCTCTACACCTCTCTGCTGTCTCCTTTCTTCTTTTCTATTCTCTCGTTTTCCTTGATCTGTCTTTTTCTCCTGTCACTTGTATTTTCTACTATATGGTTTGCACTCCTCTGGAGTCCTTATGTATATTTGAATATTGCTGTTCTATTTCCCATATGTACATTTTTACCATTCATGATCACTTTACCTCCTGGATTGTGTACTCTGGACGGCGTATTCTCTCCATTCCGCTTTCTCTGTTTCTTGTTATCCTTGTATGTCTTATTGTAAAAATTTAAATGTTATGAATGTTAAATCTGTTCCTCAATAGCCACAATGGATATAAAGCCACTTTGTGTGCACCAAATGCCTTTGGAAACCCAGATAATACTTTGGTAAATTTAGAAGTGACATGATTGTGCTATACATAATCTGAGCAGAGCTGGAAATACACAAGGAAATACACAAAGTACACCAAGATTCAAATAAGAACACACATACCTCTTGTATTTAGACAATACTTGCTTATCCTGGAGTTCAACTTTAAGAACAGGAGGCAGGCTGGGATTTGTGGGAGATTTAGGCTAATCTTTTATAGCTAGATTTCTCTCCTCCAACCTGTCAACTAAATGGTGTGGATGGAGGAATCTTACCTGCTGGCTATTGTATTCAGACAGCTGCTATCCACCGGTCTAAATACCTTAACAGTGACTACATCTGATTGGAGGCAGCCAACAGTTTTACAGCCAGCTCCCTTTGATTGTGTAATTGAAGTGTGTCTAACTGGGTGGTGCCGAAAGGACCATCCATACCTTGAATTTAAAGGAAAACTATGAGGTGAGTGAAAATCACTCAGCCTCATAGTTCGAGCCGACATGTGACAATGAAACTGTCGCAGGTCGGCTCAATAGATCGGGAAGTGAGCGAACACATACTGTCGCTCACTCACTTCTCGATCCTGTCCCTGCAGAGCCGTGACTGTCACTCATGGCTCCCTGCGGGGATTCCCCCTCCCCGATCCTCCAGCACTGACTGGCAGAATGGACGGGGGAGGGTACAGCTGGCTCTGCCTCTAGATAGGCAGAGCCAGCTGTCAATCACGCAGCTGGGTGGATCTCTACAGTAATGTCTGGATCCGTCCCGGCTGCGGCACTCTCAGTATACCGCGAGCTGTAGCTCGTGTCATACTGAGCTTTGGGTGACGGGAGGATGCTAGTTTGTGTCCTGCCGTGACCCTGGGGAGAACTATGGGGAAAAGCCTTAACCCCATAGTTCTCCTTTTTAAGCTGATTTAGCAGAAATCAGCGGCAATTGGAGCCATGTGTGGCTAGCATTAGCCCTCCTCTGCTGATCTGTGTGCTGAAGACAGCTGATAACAGACCTGAAGATCCAGGGATGTTCTGCATCATGTATATGGTCATAAATATTTGATGTGGAACCACAGTACAGCCCAGACATGACCTGGTTCTGCTTCTGTTACAGTCAGAAGGTTAAATTATTAACCAGTGCTGACTATGGGCACACATGAATGCAGGGGTACTGAGGACTGCCAGTTACCACACAACGGCATTTCCTTTATGTTGTAGATGTGAACCTGTATTGTCTTTTTGGTAGCCTGACATTCACAGCACATATGAATAGTTATACATTTTACATGTTTATTTCCCACTTTAAAGGAGTCATTTTGTCTGTGAAAAGTCGAGCAGAAGAGAAGATCAACAAATTAAAAGAGAAGCAGGGGACTCTACTGGGGAGAGTGTCCCAGCTAGAACAGCAGTGTTCCCAGCAGGTAATCTTCCACTTACTGGTCATGTGACTAATTACAAGAGCTCAGAAAGGAGTGTGACCGTGACATCATACTTTATGCTGCACTTTTATTTTGTCAGCCATGACAGTGGTCTATTAAATGGACATTTTACATATCACATTGATCACCTTTTACTTGTGTTGGAGATTTATAGTGTGCATCTAAGATTATGAAAATTACCCATTGTAGGTCTCAGTTCACAAATATGTGACTGTCTGATGTTCCTTGGCAAACAGAACCATTCCAATCTTCCCTTTTGGTTGAACTCGATGGACTTGTGTCTTTTTTCAACCTAACTATGTAACTGTTGGAAAGAATTTATACTTCAAGAGCCATAAGGCAGATTTTTTAGCTTTTAAGTGACACTAAACTCAGAAGTTAAATACAATCTTAATAGAAAGGAGTAAATTAACATGAGATTATAGTCCATAACGAGAGCGAGCTTGGAGCGGTGATTACTTTACAACACACACAGCGACCATGGGGAACAAAAGCCACTCCTCCTCCTAGTTAGAGCCGACCTGTGACAAAGAAAGCCGTCACAGCTCAGCTCTATTGATTGGGAAGTGAGCAGAAACCTGCAGCCATATAGTTCTCTTTTAAAGGGACCCTAAACTTAGGAGTAAATGTTTTGCATAATGTAATCCTGGTTGAGTCTGGCCCAACTAATGTCACAGCCTAACATTTGGGAGTGAATACTGGCATATTAAGCTCTTCCTACATATATAAATCCCGGCAGTGTTTTATGCAAAAAGAAGCCATAAAGAGAAGGGAATTAAACTTGGTGTATAACACTATGAGTGGTAACTACTGTCAGATCAAGCTTAGGCAGTTGTGAGGGATATTCTGATTGACCTACTTAGATGGATGATGTAGGGTAATGTAGCACACATACAAGTCCAAAGTCCTTTTTTCCCCCCTCCCAAATACAATTGTAGCAACCAAATAGAATTTTACCTGTATGTCCAACATAGCTGTCCCAGTTTAATATGACAAAGTCAAGCAGACAGACTGGCTGTTATGCTATAGGAGCCTTCAGTGTTTGCACATGCACTGACGGGCTGTGCCGCAGGCTGCCAGGGTAAGCTGACTGGTTTTCTAGCTGGTGCCCTGACTAGCTGCTCTTGGCATTTGTATTATAGAAAGGGTGGGAGTCATATTCTTTCGATGACCAAATTACCATTATAAGCACTAGAATCTGATACTTTGAATCTGGGTGACCATACTAACACAATGTGGAACTTGGCCCACTTTTTATCCTTTCACGTTTTCATGATTACTTTACCCTTTTTACTCCACAGGAGCAAGAAATTGGACGGCTTCAGAAAATGTTACAGCAGAATAATATCTTTCCTGAGCCCTATGAGACCAACATACCCTGAAGAAAGCAAATCCTTTAAGAACATTTATTCTGAATGTTATCTGTAAAATGAACCATGTAAAATCCTGTTTGATTTTTATATTGTTTATTCTTCCATAATATAAATGTGCATTTTAAATAAATTCAATGATTTCTGATTTTGTACACACTTTTTAGAGATGAATATTGTTTATCTAAAATAAAGGCTTGATGGGCCGGCCACCAATCTGTCTGACATTTTCTTAGAAGTTGTACAAATGTTTACAGAGTCCTTTTTTTTGTTTCCTTGTATACAATGATAGAACAGTGGTGGACTTTGTTGTAGGTAGGAAGCGGTTACCTGAAAGCAAAAACAAACACAGGATTGAAGCTGCATTTGTAAAACACAAGACATAGACTGTAGCACTTTGTAGCTCTAAGTTATGATAAACAAGGGAGATTCTTGCTGGATTCACCGTATTTAGGTCGATGTGCAATTGCAGTCATAATATTTCTTTCTTTCCTTACAAGTGTGATGCAATGCGTTGCAACATGTTTTGCTGCATTTAAATACAGCATGTTCCATTTTCTGCCAACAAACACCAACTGGGGTCAACTTGGTCTATTCATTGAACAATGTATATGATGGTGAATTGGCTCCTCACTTGTATTGAAAAACTAAAATATACACGATCAATGCAAAACTATAATCAATAGACTTCTTTTTTGACAGGAAGGGTTAAAACCACTGTAAATTTGTTTGGTTTTTTTTCCCCCCTGTGGTGACTGGTTTTATTGGGGAAATATCACTTTATTTCCTCTCCCAGAGATGAAACAGGAAGTTGGAGGGAAATCCCCAGTCATATAGAGGGGTCCTGCACCCCAGATATTTAGAGCACACGCTGGCTTTCTGCATAGTCAAGTTTCTTTATTTCCTCTCTAAACATTTCATTCTAACCTTCACATCAGGAACTGTTCACTCTGTAGGCAACATGCAAACATGGGTTCTAGTTACAAATGCCTCCTTCTTCTAGGGTACAATGTAATTACATCTGCTGCTGCGTTTATTGTGATTTAGTTAGAGTGACACTCCAGTTCTTTACATTTTAGGTAAGGCTGGGGAGAATTTGTTCATGTTTTATTGCGGTCTGTGTGTCCCTATTGGGACAGGATCCCTTCAACCAGAGGATAGCTTACAAAAAAGGCTTTAACACTCCACTCTATCTAAAACATTGTTTGAGCTGGAATTCCACCTTGACGGTGATCTGCAAAAAGACTTCTGGTGACCATGGATGCTCTCTGGATTCATTTCTGAGCATCGGACAACAAGTGCGCCGACCTGCTGCAGCAGTCAGTTTTATGCTCTATAGCTACTTAACGTTTAGCACATCAGTTAACATTCATTACCTAAATCACGTCTTGACATGATACCTGATAAGAGGCATAAGGGCCCATTCAATCTTGGCAATCTGGTGCAATGCGTTAAACATTTTCTGTGTGTTGCATTTAAAGTAGCCCATTCAAATAAATAGGCTGGGAAAGCACCAAAAACAGACAAGAACCATTTTTGGCAATGCAGTGCACCACACCACTTGGTAGTGGTACTGTACATTAATGTATATGGACTGGAGCTGTGTGGCCTTCGTGTGTTGTTCAAAATGAATGGCACCGCAACATGCTAACACATGTAATGAAGCCACCAAACTTTACACAATACAGTAAGGCAAGTACCATTCTCCTGGCAACCACCAAACCCAGACACGTCCATCGGATTGCCAGACAGAGAAGCGTGATCCGTCACTCCAGAGAACACGTCTCCACTTCTCTAGAGTCCAGTGGCGGGGTGCTTTACACCACTGCATCCCACGCTTTGCATTGCGCTTGGTGATGTAAGTCTTGGATGCAGCTGCTCGGCCATAGAAACCCATTCTGTCAGATTTGTATGTCTATATGTGTTGCTGTTGCAGATTTTTTCCCCCACTTACTGACTGAAGAAACCATTGTCAGCTGGACAGGAAGCTAAAGGTAAAGGTGGCCATGCATTGTACGATTTTCATTTGAAATTATTTACGATTTTGGAAATGGTTCTTTAGCCATACAAACCATACCAATTTTTGATGAATGACGGAAATCATTTCCTTTTGCGCATGTGCTGTGTTCTTGCGGAGACTTTTGACGGACAAAAATCCCACAGATTTATCGATTAGCATTCGGCCAGAGAAACATTTTCCAACCTGAGTGATGGAAACATTTTGAGCACAATATCAAAAACTAAAATTCGGTGATGTACCATCAACGGTTCGATTTCCATTTGAAAGACCGCTCGCGTACAATTTCCAAATGAAAATCGTACAATGTATGGTCACCATTACCTTACCCCTCTGTAGTGGAGCCCCCACGGAGCGGTAAAAAACCAGACAGAAAAAAAAAAAAAATATGTTTGGCTTGACATACACTTTAACAGCATATATTGTATTCTTTGGCAACATGATATGGAATCCTTCTTTGTTTTTAAAGTGTGACATAAAACACATTTTCCTAATTGAAGAAAAAATGTTTTCCTCATCACTCTGCACTACAGCATTATATTCGCTACAAAGTGACAGCTCCACCTCTACAAGCTTTTACATTTGGAAATAAACTCAAAAATGATCAGAGTAAATAGATTTCAGAGTATCTTGCAGCAGGCATGCTGTGCCGATTAGGAAGCCTACTGTCTAATCATTAATAGATCACAATATTAGTAAAAGCAGAAACAACCAACTAATGAGTTACCTGCTACGTTTATACAAATGGGTGGAAGAAATCAAAGGGCAACTTGGCATCCATAGTCGGCTGAGCTTTGTAACCAGGGCTGGCAGCCTGAGACACATCGAGAAAAGTCACAGCAGTAGAGATCTGCACCGTCCTGTCACCGCCCAAGTTATCCTGGAAACAAAGAACATTGTGTAGCTTGAACGTATTACAGCCGGTTCACTTAAGATGTTGGGAGATGAACATTTTCAAGAGGTTATTTTATCTAACAAATACATGAAGGCATGGTCACACACACTACAGTCTGACTAAACAAACTCTTTTGGACGTAGCAATAATTATAAGCACTAAAGGCTACTTGAAGGCCTACATAGCTAAACAATTGTACAATTATACTGATATTTATGTGGCTGGTTAAAGCTGAAATCTGGGCTCAATACAATTTCCAGTGCTTGCTTTCTGTTACCAGGGTGATAGGTCTCCTCACTGCCCCCTCTGCAGGTCTAGGGAAGGAGTGCCGATGTCATCAGGTAGGGAACAGGAGTGGGAGATTGTGGAGTGCAAGCAAACCCTTCCCACCAAGTACCCTACTCTGCAGCATACTCCCCATCAACCCAATGCCTGTTCCTGGCTCCAGCATTTTAGCTCATGTGATGACATCACAGGGGTGAAGAAGGAAAAGGGGAAAAAAAAGCTGGGAAAAGGTAGATAGAAAAGAAAGGAGAAAGAAAAAAGGGGACCTTCAGCAGGGGAAGAGAGGTAGAGCATGTAGTTTAGCTGCTACCCAAAGATGGACTTTAAAATAAGATTTTTGTACTTGGCATAAAATCCCTTTCTTTGAGTTCATGGAGGGACACAGGAAGGTCTTAAAGGGTTAATAAACCCTCGGCGGTTTGTGCATATATCTACTGCTAGCAAGCAGTAGAATGATACAAAACGATTAAAAAAAAAAAACAAATAGAAATTTTCAAAAGGGTTAATACTTACCTGTGTCTCCGCCACACGCTCCCATCCGAACATCTGAAGAGTCTTGGGCGGCCGCAAAGGATCTTGGGGCAGGCGCATGCGCAGTTCAGATGTTCGGCCAGGAGACGAGGAGAGACACAAGGTAAGTCTATGGAGCAGCGTGCACCTGCACAGACTTCGTGGGACATGAGCGAAGAGGAGGACAGAGGAGTCAGTACTGGATCAGAGACCCGCACCAGCGCTGGAGGGACAGCTAAAAACTACAGGAAAGAAGAAGATCGGATTAAGAAACATCATTTAAGGTAAGTCCTTACATTAGCATTGTAGGGGGGACTTTTGACTTTAATGTCACTTTAACCTTTGGGTTTTTCCATCACCTACAGGGAGGATTAGACCCTGCCAAAACAAAAATACTGTAGGCTAACCCAGGGTTTAACCCCTCCTACTACCACCACCATATCTCAGTTTTGTGGCAAAGCAATGTCAACAGCATGATCGTAAAACACATAGGGGTGGCATCTGTGTCACTCAGTGAGATCCAAGAAATCACTTTTTTTACGGTGATTACAAATATTATTTTCTCTCAACTGAGCAACTTTAGAATCTGTGGAGGGGGTGGGTAATGAAGCTCTAGTTTGTAAACCTAGAACACCACTTTCTACACACAGACACCGGCAATGCATGGAGCCCAAGTGGCCGCAAAAGTCAATGGATGTGCTCTGGAAAGTGGGGGTGCACCTTCATGCCGAGAAAAGAAGCATGAAGGTGTTCTGAAGCAAAAAGAGCTTTTCTTAGCATAGACAAATGGAGATGGTTTAGCAGTCGCTTCCTAAGGCTTCTGCTGAGAAAAGTGAGTGCTTTTGCTCCCAGTAGCATCTTTGATGATAGCATCCACAGTCAGTCTGATGAGATATAGTTCCTCCAAGGTGATGTGGCTGAAACGCTTCTTGCAAGGAAGTTCTGCAGTGCAGCATTTTAGCCACAGGGCTGAACACATATGCATGGACAAGGCTAAAATGGGAAACAGACCATTCCATCTATATAGAGTATCACCATATAGATCTGCTCCACAAGCTCAATGATCTGAGGATCAATGCAAGCAGCCGTAAGATCCCTTTTTTAAGAGATTTGGACCGAGCATACATTGTCTGGCAAAGTAAAATTATAGCCAAGATCGGATTTAAGGCAGAACCCACCAAATAGAACATAACTTTAGAAAGGGCCTTTTATTGGACGTTCGCAAACGCAGGAGCATCCTAGGTAGCCATCTTGTTAAAGGAGAATATGGGGAGAGTGAAATGTACTCATCCCCGTAGTTCGAGCCAACATGTGACACTGCAGCTGTCACAGGTCAGCCCTATTGATCGAGAACTGAGCAATCACAACCTCTTCCCTCTCTGTCACCCCAATGTTGACTGGATGAATGGAGATGGCTTAGCAGGTGCTTCCTTAGGCTTACCGACAGAAGTCTACAGGGAAAAGCTCTCCACGTAGATGGATCACAGAGCAGGGTGTAGCAGGTGGATACACGTGGGAGCCAGCACCATGAAAACACATTTAGAATTTCTTAGAATGGCAACTGATATGCTTTTAAACTCTAAAATACTACCCAATCCCAACAGAAATCTTTCTACCAAATGCCAGCACAGTATTAAAATCTTCTGGTGCTGCGAGTGCAGCAATTAGGGTTAAGCAACATTATCAGGATGGGATCTCAGTGAAGCTGCCCTGCACCTCCAACAATTCCTCTTAGAAGACATTGCCAGGCCTCAGTCACTGTATGAGTAAAGCATCAGTACTATGCCGATGCCATGCATGGGGGACAGCAGGATAAAGGGTTTCTGTTGACTGAAGATACTGGTTTATTTTTGCTGTCAAGACTACAGATTGCATCACAAATGAGATATTATCACAGATTATAGCCCTGTACCAAATCTTTGTGAATATCCCACCTAGAAATTTGTAGGTAAAATTAAACGTTAAACACTTACGGGGATAAATGCGTAAGAGATCTTTTCGGTCACTTTCACAATCTGTGCTTGAGGATTTACTAAGGAACCAAATTTTGTCCACTGGACTTCCAATTCCAAGGAAACTGGGATTTTACACATACTCGCCTTAGAGAACAAAAAAGGAGGAAGCAATCAAAAAAAAAAGAGTGAAAACTGGCTATGAAAATGAAACATACATAACAAAGTATTCCATCTGAGGCCCCATTCACACCAGGGTGGAAGCTTTTCAGCACGGTTTCCGTGCAATTTTTGAAAGGGAGTTTTTAATCTTTTAATTTTTCAGCTCTGAAACGCAAGGAAAAATGCCCGAAAACGCGCTGAAAATCTATATGGAAAACGCACTGACCAGCACGACAAAAGTAGCTCAGGGAGCATTTTGGGCAGCAGGCGGTTTGGATCATGCGGAGCCGCGCGCTTGCATGAACAGTCCCCATAGGAATGTATGGGATTGTTCATGTAGACGGTTCAGTGCGGACCGAACCGCCCTGGTGTGAACGGGGCCTGAGATCGGTTTCATCAGCTTTGGAGCTTTTTGTCTTTTCACAAACAAACTTCAGTCAAGCAGAACTTTTGTAAGCAGAGAGTTCCTGTCCCAAGAAAGAATATCAGTAAAACACAAACATTGTGCACATACTTACAGGACTGATATTTAGCAATTTCATTTCATATAAGAAACTACTTATTACCGTGAGCAACCAGTTTGTAGAACTCCCAAATTTCCAAACATGGAACACTGCATGAGTTCAATGCTTGTGTTGTCTAAATCTAGGAGATGATGAACTCTTTACCTTATTCCTCGCTCCAGCGGGTTTTTAGCATGCTATACAACTGGTGTGCAGGAGCCTCTTACCTTCACTGCTGGATTGGTTTTGGGCTCTCTGATGCCATCGCGTACAATGCAGGACCAGCAGTCCTTGCATGGATGCCTGATAGCAATAAAGTTTCCCCCCCAAAAATGTAAAGTTACAAATAAAAAAGAATTACATTTTTTTTAAAGTCCCCCCCATACATACACGCATGCAAAAAGGCATCGGGGGCGCATACGTGTGAAAACGACGATTTCGCCCATTACGCCGCACATGTTACATATCGCCGCGAACGTCGGAATGAGAGCAATAATTGTAGGGCTATCAATCACTGATAACACTAAACTGATGAGCGGTAAAAGCTTTTAAAGCGTCACCTATGGTCAATTTTGGGCATGGTAATTTTTGCGATTTTGCGGGTGCACGCAATTTTAAAGCTTGACATGTTTGGTGTCTATTTACCCGACGTGACCCCGTCTTTTTATATTTTACCAAAAATATGGGTGATAAATGGGTGTGGTTACTGGGAGAGCCACTAAAGGGTGAGGCCACTGAGGGGTGTGGTCACTGAGGGGCGCTGTAAAGCTTTCTCGCACAGGGCGCCTAAAAGGCATAAGGCCGGCCCTGCAAGGGCCCCTCCACATCCCTGTAGTGCTTGAGAGGGGAGAAGAGCACAGGCTGCCAGAAGAGTGAGAAATAAGGCAAGCAATTCACTTTATTCATCATCCCCTAGACAAAATTAGCATTTAATCCACAGAGGACCAGTGCAGCCCGCTGCACTGGTATATTTCACACCAGCTAGGAGTTCAGCTTTAAGACATGTGGTATACATGGAATACAAATGGTTATTTGGATTACATTAATCTTGGTAATTCAGGGACTACCTGCCTACTTCTTAAAGTGGACCTTTATCCCCTTTCACTAAAAATCACATCAGTATGAAGCTCTGCATGCGGACAAAAAAAAAAAACATCTTACATTCATTAGTTAAACAAACATGTTTATCATTTCACTTCCTGGTCCACTTTGGCACAAATGATGTAATGTGCCCAAGTGTTGCATCCTGGGAAGGTTACATCAGCAGAGCATTTCTGGGAAATCTCAGCTGTAATCTATTAAGATCTCAGGGAAAGGCATTTTCCTCCCCTGAGATGATGTTTGTGGGCACATGTCCTAGTCACATGTGGCAGAGTTCCAAGAAGTAAAGGGAGAGGTAGCAATCTGCCCTTAGTAAAAATGGCCACTGCCAGAAGACTGGGGAAGAAAAGAGAAATAAGGTATGCAAAGAATACAAAGCCGGCAATTACTGTATCTAGAAGTATGTGTTTGTAGATTGTCATTACTAGACATGTCTAAAAGCTGCCTTTGTTGTTATTTTAAAGATAAAGGTCCACTTGTAAAGGGTAAAGGTCCACTTGTATGTAAAAGCAAAAAAAAAAATCCACTCTAATTACTGTAAAATGTTTTTTGTATCTTTACTTCGCCTGCCAGACTTCTACTTGTTCCACGGCTTTCTGTCAATCTACAGGTTTACACTAAGGAGTGTGTCCAGACATGCACCGCTCAGATTGCAAAGGCAATAATAGCAGGCTGCTATGCAAAAGGAAGGTGAACCTTCAATTCTCTAGACAGATTGCGTCATCACGGGCTGACCCGGCCATAGCCCTGCCCTCCCTACAATGAGTGACAGCAGCTGAACCATGAAGACGGCTTCTTCTTAAGGTGCCCATACACTGCACGATTATCGTACGATAATCGTATGCGATCGGGTTTTCGTACGATAATCGAGCAGTGTGAACGGAGACGTGCGACCGTTTCTACTGTACGGTCGCACGTCTTCTGTCGAACCAGCATGTTCGAAAACCAGCCGGGAATCGTACGATTCTCGGCTGGTTAGAACGGTGCTCGGAAGATAAATGCTGAACGGGCCGGTGTGCGCACGCGCACACTGCCTGTTCAGCATTGCGGTCATCGGAAGCCCGCCCCTCAGGAGGGCGGGCTTGCGATGATCGAGAGTGCGATCTGCCTGTCCAAGATAGGCAGATCGTACGTTTTTTTAATCCCTTTACAACCATCGCAAGACTAAAGTCTTGCGATGGTTGTAGAGTGTATGGCCACCTTTAGACCGATCCTTCCAGCCTGTCTCCCCCTCTGCTGCAGCAGTCTAAGGTCCTGCAAATCAGTGTTCTACACTGTGTATGGATGTGTGGATGCTGTGGAACATTCCAATGCTACAGTGGTAGGAGGAGACGGGCTGCAGAGACCGGAAAAGCTGGCTCAGTGGTTTGTATAACTTTATTTTTTTATTGGCACTTAAGACAAAAGCAAGCAGTTAAGCCCCACTGCAAGGGTTAATAACAGAACACCCTACCCCCACCCCCCACATACAGCCTCCAACGCCCAACTCCCCCCTCTGCTCTTCTACATAACCTGCTGGGGGTGACATTCTGTATTTCTTGGAAATACCTTGGAACAACACTAACTGATTACAGTCAGCAGAGGATAACAGTACAGGTGGTTATCAACTCAAAGTTATTGGCATGATGAACAGGTAGTTTTCTGCACCCTTCAAAACAGTTATAACAAGATGCTTCTATTGGTATATTTTACAGAAGGGAGCACATAAGAAGCTCATTGTTAGGGTTTATATACACTTTGAAGGAACATGCTCATTCTAACACACAGTAAGGAATATGACAATGAATTGGTTTAGATGGTAGAAAAAAAAAAAAAGAAGACGACCATAGACACAAGGAAAACTATGTTTGCATTCTATTAACAGACAGAGAGAATACCTGGGCACTGGTTTGCTCTCCAGGGCTGACCGAATTTATCGCCACCCAATCTAGAACCTTCTCCGGCTGGGAATTCCCAAACTGGGCCACATACTCTGGAAACTGCTCTCCTTTGAGTGCATTCAAAATGGTAACTCCTGCAAGCTGGCAAAATGCAGCTATGGTATAATTGAAACTATTCAAACTGTAAAATACACAAAAGGGAAAAAAAGATACAAGTTGAATAAAAGCAGAAACAGCGATATTGGTTAATACAAAGAAATGAATCTATTTACCGCAGTTTGCAGCCAGACATCATGTTGTACCCAAATAACACAGCAGCCCTTTTCCCTTGTTCTGTTAGACAGCTCTGGTCTACTGAGCTCTGGAGCAGAGTTAGTTGCCCAAATCTGTTGGTACTTTGAACAATGCCAGATTTAAAGAGGTCCATTAAGGAGAAATAAAGTGAACGGTGAGAAGTAAAGGCATCTAAATCTGAACAATCACATAATTTACCCAGAGCATAAAAAATCCATTATAAGTATATTCTCTGAATGCATAGAGCATATACACACAATAAACAGGGCTGGTCACAAGGTATTCACCATATGAAGTGATGTGCTGTCGTTCTTGGGAGGGGGGTGTTCTGGCAGGGAAAGGTCACATGGAAGCGTGCAGTTGCTGCGCCAAGTTGTCGTTTGGGGGGGAATGCTGGACCATGTTGTCAGTGGATCTGTCCAGTGTCAGGGACGCTGTGGCCGTCCCTCTGCTGCCCCCTCCCACCACCCAGCCACCCTCCAATGAGATGCCACCTGAGACTGCCTCATTATAGGAATGGCTCTAACAACAAATTATTTATTTTATTCTTAATTTATATAGTGCAAAATATATTCTGCAGGGATTTACAGAATACACACAACCAGTCACCTCCGTTCCCGCAATGTTAAGAAATTCATAACCCAATATTTCTACCACAGTAATACCACCAAGGTCTGGATTGTGTAAGGAGTGTCATAGATACTCATTAGAAATCTGTCTCCCATCCATGCAACAAATGGCACAACCTGTGACAGATTCATGTAACTATTGGTAAGGTGTATATGAATCTGTTGCAGAATTGTCTCAGACAGAATACTTACACCTGCGGCACAATTTACTCTAACATAGAGGTCTTTTCCTCCATTTTTCTTATCATCAATGATATGGCGGTATTTCTTGATGAAATTTGTCAAAGCTATAGCACCAGAATGTAAAAGTGTCATACATAAGGACTACCTGAAATGGGGCAGCACAGTGGTGTAGTGGTGTAGTGGTTAGCGCTTCCGCCTTGCAGCACTGGGAGGTCCCCTGTTCAAATAGCAGCCAGGTCACTATCTGCAAAGGAGTTAGCATGTTCTCCCTGTGCTTGTGTGGGTTTCCTCCCAGTCCAAAGACATGCTGGTAGGTTAATTGGCTCTGCATGTATGCACATGATTATAGGGACCTTAGATTGTAAGCTCCTTGAGGGCAGGGACTGATGTGAATGTGCACAATGAAAATTGCCGGCGCTATATAAAATACCTGTAATAATAAATACATTTGTTGAATACATCAGTCATAGCAAGAAAACTGTTGCACAGCTTTCATGAATTTGGCACAGGACTCTCTAATATGGCCATAACACCAGAAGCAGGACGCAAAATGCTTTATTGAAATCACCCCCAGTATCTTTAAATCAAATCCAAGAGCCTAGCTCTGCAAGGCCACAATACTAACCCATAAATTACTGCGCTGCCCAGGAATGTTTACATCCTGCCCAGCTGACTAATCATTGAGGAATCTGGTCATGTATGCAGACATAAGTGTAGGTTTAGATTGAAGGAATGAATAAAAGTTGTTTAGGCAGTCCAATGAGATGAGGAATCTGGAAAGAGACCTCTCTTGACACCATTAAAAGGCTTCTCATAGCTGGTACACAGATTGTGATATCAGCCTAGTAAACCTTGCCCTTTGTGAAACATTTCAGCCTTTTCCAGGCAAACCTCCCTCCTCGATTCATTTACGGTTAACGAATTCCAGAGCATGTACTTATTGTTTACTGAAGACACAAGGTGTGTGTGTGTATGTGTGTGTGTGTGTGTGTGTGTGTGTGTGTGTGTGTGTGTGAAGTTAGGACATTAAAAGGCATTTATGTGAAGGTGACGACAATCTCTAACTGTAGCTTACAAATATAATTCTAATTATCATTAATACTCCACAGACCACACACAAGCGAAATAAAAAAATCATGCCCCAGAAGGATTAAAGAAAGAAATCTCAAAAAGGAATACAAATAGAACACAAAATCTCTTTAGAAATTGTAAATATCCTTTGATATTTATTTGCTCAAAGCATATTTACAATTTGTATGTGATTGTGTTATATTTGTATCCCTTTTTTCCTTAGATTTATGGTAACACACCCTTTCATCAGAAATGTTGTGGGCTGTGAGCCAGTGGCCTCAGACTTTAGAATATAGTGTGTGGAATGTGCTTCGGAGACCCCCAGACCTGGTTCTGAATGGTCACCAGCGGTTATAAAGAAGTTCTAGGCAAACACAGAATTCAGTAATAAATATACAATGTGAAAAGCTTTTCTTGAATGCTAATTGCAGCCTTTTTTGGGAAAGAGTTGGGAAGAGTTAAATGATCTGCCTTATTTCACTCATAAAATGGAGGGAGTGATCCTTTTTCCACCTTGCAATACAGGTCTACAGAGCAATTCTAAGCAAGCAAAATGAATTATGAACTGTGCTAATTGAAGACAATGGCACCGCAGCCACGCAACCCCCCGGCCTGCATTGCGATCGCCTGCACCCAAATGTGTGGCACATTAGTGCCTGCATTCCGGTCCAGTGTGATCTGCAAAAAATGTGGCAAGCAAAATTTGTATGCGTTATGTAACAGTGTAAGTGCAATACAATACTATTCCATACAGTGCAGAGCAGTCACGGTATGCTTAAATATCCTAAGATTGTATAACATTTAAAAAGGATATTGTGGCAACCTAAAGCCAGCAATAAGAGGCATTCCGACTACGTAGCCCGGGTTCCCACTAAGAGTGACTGGTATTGCCCCTTCCTAAAATGGAACAGAAGGTTACAGCTGTGGTTAAATATACATTGGGAAAATGCTTCTATCAACAAAACACTGTTGAATGTAAACCATTAATATTTCTCATTCCTTTTAAATTCACAAAAAAGGTATTTACATGATAAGCACAATCTGTGCTGGCTGTGGTGAGCAATCAGCAACAGTAACTAGGACAGGTTAATGATTTCACACATGAAGCCTACTTAAACAACGATCCTTCCAATTAATCACTCTATCTTACATGAAATGACAAGCTGTGGATAAGTGTATCCTGTAACAACTACTTTATACAGCTCCCACACCAAGGTTCAGTTGTATGGTGTCCAAGACAGTAGCACAAGTTAACAAATAATGTCCAATAAGTATAATGAGCGGATGAAGGAGGCGAGTTCAATAAAGACTGCCACACAAATATTTCAGCTAAATATTCAGTTGAAGTATAAATATTTGAGCCGTCTTATCTGCCAAAGGATTTGTAATTCTCTCCAGCCACAGTTATGATTCATACACCTCTACCAGACAGGAGAGCCAGAAAGTTGACTACACTTTCTCCCTACGAGTTAAGGAATACAATGGGGTCACCTTCCCAACTGCAGTCTGCTGACTGGATAATGATGGAAAAGAACACACCAATAAGTCATCAACTCTGCTTTGTCCTCCTGTTAGCATGTTCCCTGTCAGCAAATGTACATGCCACATAGCTTAATTGGTTCATAGTGCTCCCCTAGTGCTTCTCACAGTCCGAATCCTGCTGTACAAGAGCCAACAGGAAATGGATATCCAGACAGACTAAGCTACTATTTATATTGAAGAGAATACACAAATGCATTGAATTGGAGTTTTTATATCTGCCTGGAGTTTAGCTTTAATGTAATCATATGCTTAGGTCATTTAGGGAGACCATAACCTTGTGGAAACTACAACGTAAGCAATCTGTGAAGTACACGGGAATTTCCTTCACGCGTGTATTCAAAACAGAGCCACAGGGGATTGAAAAGGAAGGTAACTTTATGCAGTCAAGGAGAGATAAGTTAAAATAAACCTGCATGGGTAAAACACAGATTCACTTAAGAATCTTAAAAGGTAAACACCTGTGCTTGTTAACCCTCTATGACGGCATAACACATATATGCAGCATCAGGAAAGTGGGGTTTTTTCCGTGGTGCAGCATGTATGCATCATGTTTTTGTGCTGGAAGCATGGTTGCTTTTGTGCCCCAGCACTGGTCTCAGACCAATGAACAGGAGCTGGGAGCACCGGGTCCTGTTCATGTCTGTAAAAAAAAAAAAAGAATGAAGAAAGATAAAATAGATCAGGGCTTGATCTATGTTAGTGTCTCTGAGACAGAATAAAAGCCAGTGTTACGGTCAGTTTTTTTAGGAAGATTAAAAAAAAAAAAAAAGTGCATTATTGTTTCTGGGTCCAACTACGGACACACACACGCACGTGGTGTCCCCGTGAATGTTGGGCGTGGGAGAATTTATTTCATTTTTTGGTGGTTAGTCATGGTGTGGGCAAAAAATATGTAGTAGCTACATTTAAAAAAAAAAAACTATTTTTACAATCTGTTTATTATTACTATTTCACGATCTTAGGCTGGTCTTTCTTTGAGAATAATAAAACTATAAACAATAATAAATAATCATGTACTTTCTAACACTTGCAAAACTTGGTTTTAAGCATTTGTGATTTGTTTCACCTTCCGTCATTAAAGGGGTAACAATACACGTGAATGCGATTTAAAAAAACTAAACCTTAATTGAACAGTAGGATATTGTTTTATAATAAGCAGCTGTGGAAATCATGACATTCAGGGCATGGTTACTCTAGTTCTGTTCATAATGCTTGAAGTGAAGATGAGAAGGGTGTCACCAGTCATCTGAAGAACATTCTCAGGTCAGGCTGCATG